TATCCAAAGCTCTTTTCTAGACAAATGTTTGTTTTTCCTTTTTATTGTCATGCTTTCTCATTGTCCTCTTTTACATTTGAACTGATTTCAGCAGTTATTTAAAATTTAGCAATTCTTTTCAACATTATCAATGATGGAAGTGTTTTATCAAACGGAGCAGAGTGAACTAGAAGGACTCCACAGATAGAAACAAATCAATCTAAAATAAAAAAAAAAGCTATGCTCAATTGTTAAAATCACTGTAGTTTCAATGAATTGTTTGTTGTGTTTAATTGTACAGATCAACAGGTGATATTGGATAAAGAGAAGTCAGAAGGCAGGAGTCAAACATGGCCACCAGAGGGATGGTGGTTACCTCATCCACATACCACCTGCAGGGCTCAACAGAAGCTGCACCTGGCTCAAAGCTCCATCCACCATCTGCACAACAAAGCAGTTGTGTGAATGCCTCACCCTGGATGCTGTAACTCTACCCTCCTGGATTCTTCCCTTCAAACATGTGTCTCTACTGGGTCATGTAATAAAACTTAAATCTCTCACTAATTTCTTATTTCACAGGCCTTACTTTCAACAACTTCATTACAACTTAGGAATGTTGTTTTATTTGCTTACTATTATTTGTATTTTATATTTAAAAAAATTTATAAATTTAAAATTGTGTGTTTCCTTTACGTTTTTATTTTAGATTTTATATCTTAATCTAGTAGAATATATCCTGTAGAAACTGCAACTCTGCAGATTGGATCTTGGACAGGCTGTAAATGTGGATAACACTGACCTCTGGCGATTTTTATTGGTACTGCATGTTAAAAAGGGCGACCTCCTGCTAGAAAATTAAGTAATTGTCGCTTTTCAACCCTAATAAGATCCATGTTTTAAAACCCTACGATTTAGTCGTTATTTTCAGATTATGTTTTACTATAAAACTAATTTTATTTACCTGCTTCAGTTTATTGAGAAGTACTAAACGTTGTCTATCCAAATCTAGGGAGGAGTCTAAAGACACGAAGGCCTGGATTGTGCGTTGCATTATGGGGAATGTAGGATCCAAGGCGTGTGAAGTTTATTCCGAATATTAACCCTTTATAGGGCTCTCAGTGAAATACTTTGAAAATCCAAATTTCAACCCAATAGTGTTATTGGAATCCAGGACAATACATAAATAACATTAAACAAATATGGATATTTTTTATGGCAAATGTTAATGTCAATGAAATAATAAGAAACACCAACCTGCCCAAATATATTAAGAAAAATAGTGCTTCTAAGTGCTTCTATAAGAAATTCATGAGAAACACTCTGAGAGTGAAAGAAACACATAACTTTTTTGGTACAACATAACCTTAGAGGCTGATACTGGCACTTAGATGTATTAGTTTATAAATCTAAATATAATTGTTAACTAGGCTTATTACCTCATTAAGTTTAACTTTCTTTTTTATAATTTTTCAATAAGCTTTTTTACCTTTTTTTCTTGACTGGTTAACTTCCTTTTTTCAACTTAATTTACAGTAGGTAATATAATATTCAAGGGCTCATTTAATTGATCAAATTTCCAAAATAAGATGTGCAGCCATGTAGCAGCATCTTTGCTGAATAGCTGGAAATAGATGTTGTGCTTCTAGACCTCACTGAGGGATGGGGGGACTCCATTTGTAAGGGGTATGCAAGTGATCAAAAACACTAACTTGCTCTATAAAGGGTTAACGATTTTGCTTTAATTTAACCTGAGCCAGACCAATATGAAGGACCTAGAGGGTAACTAAAAAAATAAATAAATAAAGCTATTTCAAATTTAACAGTTAAATCATATAATTAGAAATCCAATTCGAAAAGCATTATTTTATTTTGCATTTTAAATTGAATTATTAAAGAGTAATTGTAAATTTTATTTATCAAACCTTTATTTTAATATCCTATTTCTAGATGGAGATAAAAAACAATTAATAAATGTCAATATAACTAGCTCCCCAATCACACATTTATTCCATTTTCATTTTCAGCTTGCATTTCAGAATTCATTTTGCAGTATCTTTATCTTCTCCATTTACCTTTTCTGTGACCCATCTGGTCCTTCAGCACAGTAAAAACTAGTGAAACCAATCATAGTTGCTCCTTTTTTGTAACGAGCTGTCTCATTGGTTAAACTACTCCACTCTGTTCATTAAATTAATTAATGAACTTGGGTTTTTAAATACCCATTTACAAATAGGAATGGAAAATACGTTTTCAAATTGCAGTATTTAATGGATTGATAAACACAACTTATAATTCCTCTTTAGTAATTCAATAGAAAATGAACAATTAGAAAACACTTTTCTAACTTGATTTCCAATTGAATGATGTAATTTTTTGTTTCTTTTTCAGGGACTCTACTGATCCTCTTTTTTCCAAATTGGAGTCAGAATGTTTTTAATGTTCTTTTCCATTCTGAGGTGCCATGGTGATAACAGTTTTTAGCTGATATAATGTGTCTGTCCGTTCTAGCCAAATAATAATTTTTCAAAGGCTTCTAATTACCAAAAAATGAGTTCATCAGTCCAGATTTACTGTCCTTTGTTTGCCTCCCTCTTAAGGGCTCAGTGTGCCGAAACGAGAGCTTCATTAGTGGCCGTTTGATAAAGAAATCAAAGGAAGAGGACAAGGAGATGAGAGCAAAGGTTTCACTAAGTGCTAATTTCCCACTCAACAGTCCAGTCTCAAGCTGCTCCCCAAAGTGGTCTCACATTCTGTGCAATGATTGGTGTTTTACTGAGGAGTGCAGCATCCAAATTCACACTCATTCTGGGAAACAAATCCAATCAAAATCCATTTTTATAGGTTTTTAGAGCCTCCATTTGTGTCACATTTCATCAGTGTCTCTCTGTTTATCCAGAGCTTCCTCCTTTAATCCTCAGTGTTAAATCAGTTGCTAAATCAACTATTTTAGCTGTAATAATGATGAGTCCATAAAGAGTTTCAGCCTTTCAGCTGCACCTCTCACTGTTTTTACCCGAACCTTTTGTTTTAACTTTGTTTTATTTTGAACAGTTTTCAGTTTAGAGACATTGGGGCTCTAGTTGTTGGTTGCTCTCTTTTTTTCTGAGGCTTCCACCAACTGATCTCTATTTATTCACTGCATTGCTGATAGACCAAAAAAAACACAAAAAAACTGAAGTCCCCTTCTGCCATCTTGGTACTTCCCACTTTAATGCTATTTTTAGGCTGATGATTATGGAGGGAACTTTGGTTCAGTATTGCTGCAAGCAAAGAACATGTTTTGTTAATGAAAATCTGGAAAAAAAAAAAAATTTAAAAAAGAAATCTAAAGAAAAAAGCATTCAGAAATGAAACTTTGAAAAATGTCAGTAATAAAAAGGTTTAGACAGTAGCTATCACATTTTTTATCTTTCTTTTTCTCATATCTCTTTAATCCCTTTTTTCTTTTTACATTTTTTGCGCATTTTTATTAAATTAAATTTTTTTCAAATTGAGTTTTGCAAGGTTGGATTTTTTTTTCTTCAAATCTGAGAATCTGATCTGTAAAATGCAATTTGAAAATAATGCAATTTCTTTAAAAAAAAAAAAAAAAAAATTCTGTAAAAACAAATAAACAACCAAAACCTTTTTAACAAATTTTTCAAAGTTTCTTTCCTGGAGTGCATTTTTATCCATAGTGAGGAAAATAGGTATTTGAACAGCCTGCTCTTTTTCAAGTTCTCCCAATTAGAATTCATGGAAGGTTTGAAATTGTCATCGTAGGTGCATGTCCATATTGAGAGACATAATCTAAAATAAAAGAAAACATAATTAGAAATCCAATGTATAATTTTTTTAATATTTATTTTTATGATACAGCTGCAAAAAAGTGACTTCTTCACTTTAATATCTATTTTAAAAAAAAAGTTTTTTTGCAAACAAAACAGTCACCATAGCTGTACAGTGTGTATATTTTATTGTTAAAAACATGGATTGGATTTTGCATCAAATGACCCAGAGTTGTTTTGGCTTCATCTAACCATGGGATCAGAAGTTGGTTGCTGCTCAAACATTGTATTCAAATCAAAGTAGCACTTCAAAATATTTTCTAAATAAAATTTAAAAGTTCTTAGACTAGAAATTACTAAATTAGTAAAAAGATTAAAAAAAAAAAAGTTAAAATAATTACTAAGTTACTGATCATATTTGAAAACAATATAAGCAGTTATATAAAAAAAGTTACTAAATTAAAAAAGGAAACATCTACCGTCTCCTGTATTATTAGTTGTTTGCTGAAAGGCTCAGCAGGCAGAACATTAAAATAATGAAGCTTACATACAAACCAGTTGTCTCATTTCAACAAACTTTGAAGCACTTTTGGTTGAAAGATGTTCTTTCCAAAAAGTTACTTTAGGTAGTTAGAATAGCTATGAATTTTACTCAAGTAAAAGAATGCAGTAAAAATACCCTTACATAAAAAAAAAGTTAAAGTAATCATGCGCAGGACCTTCCATGTATGTGTAATCATCTTTCCTTTTCAGAGGATAGGTTGAACCATGGTCTATGAAATGTTTAAAAACTTTTGCTCAACTTTCTCCCCGACCTGCTGTGCTCCTTGGTCTTCATGATGGGGATCGTTCACTAAAACCAACAGAACTCCTTTATAGAACAGCTGGCTCTACCCTGACATTGCATTACACACACCATTTAATATCGTAAGTTGATTTCTCAATGAAGGGCTTGGATTTTATTTATGGGTAATAGAGATGAATACTGATGAATAACTAAGATACTGAAAAACATGTATAGATATATTTCAGTTCTGTGATCTTTAAGTTGGTATAAAATTCCAACAAAACTCATGTTTGTATAACTTGACAAAAACATGAAATAAAGTTCAATACGTATGATCACACAAACTAACGTTCTGGTCCCTGGTCATTTTATGAGTGTGACCATGTCGGCTTTGTTCTCTTAGATCCAGAGAGAATAGAGAATAGTGAAGAGAAAGAAGTGAGATTAGCAGAACTGAGCAGAGTGAGAACAGACAAGTTTATTATAGGTAAGATACAGATGAGACCAAAGGCTTTGAGTTCATACACAAAAACACTTTTACTTGCGCTTGTTGGTAGAAAAGACAAGTTTAATTTGTGCTAGTCTGCTTTTTTTTTTCTCACAAAACAAACAAATCAAGTAGAAAATTTACAATACACCTTCAAAAATAATTTCAGCTATGAGAATGTAAAATGACAGGAAAATAAAAACCTACTTTAGAGATATCTTTATCTCACTAGAGCTCATCTGTTTTATAATGTTAGGATGTTTTAAATCAACAATCGGAACAAAGAATCCTGATAAGTGAGCTGGACCCTCTTTAGCATTATGTGAACGCCGCTTTACTAGAGGGTTAGAGCCACACTTAGATGGGGCTTTTATTTCACAAACGTTCAAAAATGATTTTCAAAGGTTTAAACTATAAATACAGCCAACATAACCAATAAAAGATCTGTTTATACACCAAAGCATCACCAGATTACAAACTAAAGGCACATGTGGTCCCAACAGATCTCCCAAAACCAGAGACCAAAAGCAGAATCACATGTAGGAACCCTATTTTAAACACAGCATTAGCATGCATCCAGCTGCATTTCAAACAAAGGAGATGTAGATTGAACTAAAAGGCTTCGTCTCTGCATGTGGATCCCCATTGATGATTACAGCGTGGCAACGTCAATACATTCAACATCCAGCAGTGAAAGGATGATTCAGAAAACACCAAACTATCGTCAGCGAATGGTGTTAGCTCAGATGAAGGCCATGAACCAAAGCCAGGTACACACTGCTGTGATCATCTGCTTTAGACAAAATCTTCGATGGAGTTACTTAAAAATCTGTCATCAGTTCAAATTAGTAATCTGTGGTCTTATTGAGTGAGAAGTGCATTAACCAAAGGTGTTGGATGAGAAACAAGCTGTGAAAATTTGTGGAAAATTAAGGTATGTGGCTGCAACTGAGACAATAGAAAGTATTTTCATATAATGAAGACCTGCAAATAATGTCACATATGGAATAAAAATGTGTTATGCAACCTCTAAAAATGGAGTTAAAATGTCTTTCTGGGGAATTGTGGAGAAGATGGCAAAAGATGAGATTTTTTTTAATCTGAAGTTAAACATCGTGTGTATCCAAGAATGTGGCAGCATTCTTTGATATAAGAACATGCAAAAGTTTGGGTTCAAATGTTACATTTAAAGTCTTAATTCCCTGTTTGAGATGTAAATTTTCTAATGATAAAAAGACCTAATTGTTTTCTTTAAATAATGGTGGTGTGTTTGCAGGCAGGGCTTTAATCCCATCCTAGATTGAATTCTTCACTGATTTTTCTAAGACAGACCCAAACCTTTGCACACCCCAGTATTTACAGAGGGCTCCACCGAAAACATCTACATGCCAAGGATGGCAGATTTATTATTTTTTATAAAGTATGGTAGAGATTCACTGATCAGACAAGGTGGTGGAAAAAAATAAAGTTATCATTCAGATTTACCTGGAAGGAAATGGAATCAACCAAAAATCCAAAGAGAGCCATAAAATGAACAGCCACAGTTTACCTGTGTGAAGCAACGCAAGATCAAAACAGCACTTTGCACGAATTGGCTTAAAAATCACTAGTTTTCACTCAAAGTACATCTGGTCACCTGTTAATAAAAGTCAACAGTGACGTGGATTTAGACCTTTACGAACTAAAGGGAAACAACATTCAGCTGGTGTTCTGTTACTCTTCAAAACGTAGGTAAAATGTCAAAGCAACAGAAACTGAGCACAGGACTGTTTACAATGCTTTAAAGAGAAAAACAAAAACACTGTTAATGGAATTTGCTTTTTTACAATACCTCAACAAAACAAAAACTATTCATAGAAAATAAAAAATAGAAAAACGACAAATGGTAGTGGCCTCTTTGCTAGTCAAAGGTCTTCTAGGTTAGACGTTTGGTGTGCCCGTTAGATGGTGGACTTGGAGAAGGAAACTTTAAGATGGTGATTTCCTCCCATGTCATAGTTGTGAAGGTCAATCAGAACCTGAATCGCCTCCTCCACAGATGACATCTGGATCAAGGCCATCTTACGGTCCCTGTAATGGAGACGGCAAAAAACTCAAATTCACTGCAGAAATAAAACACTGGATATGCAAGTTAAAACCAAAACTGTTTTTTAGGGGTTGAACAATAAGCTAATGCTGTAAATGTTCCTTTGGTGAACTCTGGCTAGTGATCAAAATCAAATCTGTCAATTT